CCCCCCCCCCCCCCCCCTCCCTCCTCTCCTCCTTCCCCACGAACAGCAGCAGCCGCATCCTTCCTCAATCAAACGCAGCACCGCAACCGCACCCTCCACCGGCCTTCACCTCCTCCCCACTCCCTTCATCAGCCGCAGCAGCCACATCTCCCCCTCCACCTCCCCCTACTCCCCTTCCTCCCCCACCAGCTGCAGCAGCCGCCTCATCTCCAGCAGCCGCACCATCAGCAGCAGCAGCCGTATTTCCCCCCTCCCCTCCCTCCTCCTTCTCCCCTCTCCACTCATCCCCAGCAGCAACAGCAGCAGCATCCGCAATCGCACCATGACCACCGAAACACTCGCCGTCGACATCTCCACCATCGACGTCCTCGAGCTCATCGACGACGCCGTCCCTGTCAACTGGGCTACCTTTGCCCAGAGCCTTACCAATGTCCTCGGATCCGCTATCATCAACGACTACTGCCTCCTTGACATTCTCCTTGGCAATGACGCAGGGCAGCCCCCAGAATGTCCGCTGATGTCTCCCCTGCACCTCCCGCCCCACCCCCCCCCCTCGGGACCGGCCCCCACCAAGCCCTCTCCACTGGTCTACACCGACGACCCTGATCGCTGGGCTCGCGTGCAACACCAATATGACAAGGACTTTGCGGAGTACACTCTCCTCCATCACGCGTATGACGCAGAGCAAGCTGCGCACGACGCGCCAACACACTCCTCCAACAGCACAAGGACGCCACGGCTAAGTATGCTGACGACTTTCGTGAGTACCGTCGTCGCCACTCTGCCTGGAACGTTGCCAACCGCAAATGTCTCGCTATCCTGTCTGCATGCGTTCCTTCCTCCCTCAAACGCGAAATTACCCCCTCCTCCGCTCCCGAGTTCTGGAAAGAGCTATGTGCCACCTATGACCTCCAGGACACCAACTCTCTCCTAGCGCTCCACCGCGCCTTCCTCGACATCAACCTGACTCCTGCCCCAACGCCCTCTCCTTCACGCGCCGCCTCCTCACCACTGCCAAACGCCTTGCCGATCGTCGCTCTCCCCTTCCCGACTCCCTCATCGTTTGCCGCCTCCTCGACGGCCTCACACCCATGTATGAGGCCCGTCGCGTGGCGTTCAATGAGGTCCACGCCAGCTTCCCACCCGACTCCGCCTATGTAGCCGCATGGATTCTGAAAACTGAAGCGGAGCTTCTCCGCCAGTCTCCTCCAACGGCTCATGCTGCCCAAGCAAAAGGAGGACGTGGTGCTGGCCGTGGCGGTACTTCGGCGGGACGATCGGGTGGTGGACGTGGCGGGGGGCGCAGTGGAGGACGCGGGGGTAGCAGTGGTTCCAACAGCACCGGCGGCTTCTCCCCGTGTCAGTATCTCATCCGCAACGGCCCCAACAAGGGTAAGCGCTGCCTCCAAACCACCCATGCCACCACCACATGTTTCAAGGCCCTCACTGATGAGTGGCTTGATCGAGGCAACACGGGCACGCCCCCTCGCTGGTCCGCTATCACTCCACCTCCCACTCCCTTTGATGTTCGTACCCTCCCCGCCTATCAGCCCTCCTCTACCTCTCTCCACCACATCCTCGCACAGCACCTCCCTCCACAGATCCTCCAGCAGGTCACGCCCCTCCTTCCGTCCCCACAGCCGCAGCAGACTCAGCAGCCGCAGCAGAACCAGCAGCCGCAGCAGTCCCAGCAGCAGCCGCAGCAGCTCCTGCAGCAGCTCCTCCAGCAGCTGCAACAGTCTCAGCAGCACCAGCAGTCTCAGCAGCAGCCCTCCCCTCCCTCCGCCTGGAGCTCTGGCCTGTCTGCTCCTGCTCCTCCTGCGCAGGCCCCCACCGGACCTCCTGGCTTTACCCCATTTCCCTCACCTGGCTTCATCAACCATGTTAGCCATGCTCTCCTGCTATTCCTCCAATGTATCCCGAGTCTATTAATGAAACCTCCTTCCAGTACTCCGTGTCTCACCCCACCCTCCTTCCATTGAGTTTGTCATTGACAGCGGCGCCAGTGTCACAGTCCTTCGTGATGCTGGTGCCCTCACCCCCTCCCTAACCCCTCCACCATCATTGGAGCCGATTCTACTTTCTCGGTCACCTCCCGCCATACCTCCACTCTTCCCTGCCCCCTCTTCCCCTCAGGTTCAGTAACTGGCTTCCATGTCCCCTCCCTTCGCACTAACCTCGTCTCCCAAGGTGCACTTCAACGGGCCGGGGTCACAACAATCTACCCCGGCCACGCCACCCACTGCGATTGTTTCACTCATCCACGGGCCATTTCATCGTCCGTGTTCCCATGTGTCCTCGCACTCGCATGTACACCCTTCACACTCCCCGTCCGTCAGCCTGTCACACTGCCTCCACCATCCCTCCCCTCCCCCCTCCTCTCTTTCCTCCGCAACCTCCCTCCACCTCCCCTCCCGCCCCTCCTGCTCCCCCCCATCTCAGTGCCACTGTCGTGATCTTACACATCCTGCCATCCTCCTCCACCACCGCCTAGGTCACCCCAACTTTGCCACCCTCCACAAGGCCGTCGCCTCCGGGCTCCTCAATGGCCTTCCCCTCACTCTCCCCCACTCCCTCCCTCCCCCGCCCCCCTTGCACCATCTGTGTCCAGAGCAAGCTCAAGCAGCTTCCTCATAAAAGTCACCCTTCTTGCGCCCCAGAGCTCCTGGATCTTGTCCACATGGATCTCTGGGGCCCCAACCCCTCCCCACCCGTCAAGGGCACCGCTACCTCCTCGTCCTAGTCGATGACCGCTCACGATACACCTCGGTCTCCCTCCTTCGCACGAAGGCCGAAGCATCGGCCTTTATCATCGCCTGGGCCGAGCAGGCGCGCACCCACTTCGGTCGTCCCGTTCGCCGCTTCCATTCCGATGGCGGCGGTGAATTCCTCAATCACCATCTCTCTTCCTATTTCTCCACCCATGGTATTCACCACACTTACACCCTCCCTCACTCCCCTCAGCAGAATGGCGTGGCAGAAGCTCGTGTTCGAGAAGTTACAAAGACCGCCAGGTGTCTTCTCGTTCACGCCTCCTGCCCGCCTTCTCTCTGGGGTTATGCTCTTCTCCACGCCGTCCTCCTCACTAACCTGTATCCCCACCCTCTCCTCCCCTCCACCACCCCCACCGAGCTGTGGACGTCAACTAAACCCGACGTCTCCCCCCTGCGCGTCTGGGGTTCCAGGGCGTATGTTCTCATACACCCAGCCGACCGCTCACGCACAGCAGGGAAGCTCGCCTCCAAGAGTCTACCCTGTGTATTCCTTGGTCACAACACCTCCTCCCCTGACTACCTCTTCCTTCATCCCCCCTCAGGTCGCCTCATTCGTAGTCGGGACGTCATCTTTGACGAATCCTCCCCGTACTACACCTCTCCTGCCTCACCTGACCCACTCACCATTCCTCCTCGCCCCTTCATCCCCTCTGACACTGTCACCCCCCCTCCTCCCCCTCTCCCTCTTATTCCCCCACCCCCAGCACCTCCTCCTCCCGAATCTGCTCCCTCCTCATCTTCCTCAGGTGACATCCTTGACCCAGTACTCCCCCCTCTCCCTCTCACTCCGCTTCCGCTCCATCCTCCCCCTTCTCCCCACCTCCCCCCCTCCACCTCCTTCCCCCCTCCTCCCCCACCTCCCCCACCTCCTCCTCCACCCCCCAGGTGTCTTCTCCCCTTGTCCTTCGCCACCGCCCTCATACTCGGTCCATGGATCTAGGCTTGAGCAACGGGTCGGGTCGGGTCGGGTAACCCGACCCGAACCCGACTTTTTGACGGGTCGGGTCGACATTTGCGGAGGGTCGACCCGACCCTCGGGTACCCGACCCGACCCGACCCGACCCGACCGACAAAACCCGACCCGTCGGGTCAGCTTATTACCCGTCCCTGCCCCTATGTTAACCCGACCCGACCCGACCCGAAATCGGGTCAAGTAGTACCCGACCTACTAAACTCGGGTCGGGTTGGCATTTCCTGAACTCCGACCCGACTTGACCCGACCCGACCCGACCCGACCCCGACATCGGGTAGGGCAAAGTCGGGTCGGGTCGGGTCGGGTCGGGTTCATGCTCAAGCCTACATGGATCCCCTCTTTGGTCCGCCCTTAGCCCCTCCCTCCCCTCAGGCAAAGGCACCCGCTCCAGCACCCTCTGCTTCCACCTCCGCACCCGCCGCAGCAGCTCCCGCCGCCGCATCAGTGCCTGCCCCGGTCGCCGCACCCGCAGCGTCAGGATCCGCCGCAGCAGTTGCCTCGGTCAAGCAGCCGTGCAGCCGAGTCGCAGAGTCGCAGTGTCGCAGCCTCCCCCTCAGCAGCGCAGCAGACTTGCAACACCACCCTCCCTTCCTCCTCCTTTCTCTCCCCTCCTCATCGAAGACTCCCATGGTGAATTTCTTCGCCTCCACCTCTTCTCCAACACCCAAGCAGTCGCCTTCAGCATGACCGGCGCTCCGGTACTGGTCTTCTCCGGTGCGCCCATCATCTTCGAGCCGGGAGATTATCACGAAGCTATGACATGCCCCGACCACCCTCATTGGGGCAAGGCAGTCCTCAAAGAGAACGAGGCCTTTGTCCGCAACGGCACCTTCATCGACGTACCCCGCCCTCTCAACCACAACGTGGGCAAAGGCAAATGGGTATTTCGGGTCAAGCTCCTCCCTGGCGACGACCCGGTCTATAAGGCCCGTTACTGCGCCAAAGGATTTACGCAGCGGTACGGCCATGACTTCCTTGACACGTACTACCGCGACCGCCACTCCCCCTGTCGTCCGCGTGTTCTTGGACTTCGGTTGGCCGGCGCGGCATGATCCTGCACTCGATGGATGTCACCACGGCATTTCTCCAAGGTGAACTCCATGAGCGCATCTTCATGGAGCGTCCCGAGGGCTGGCACCTCCCTTTCCCTCCCAACACCGTTTGGGAACTTCGCCGCCCGGTCTACGGCCTCAAGCAAGCTCCTCGGGAATGGCATGCCAAGCCTCTCGAGCACTCTCCGTGCTCTTGGTTTTCGCCCTTCCCAGGCTTCCTCCTGCCTCTTCCTGCGCACCTCCCCCTCCCCCTTCTACATCCTCGTCTACGTCGACGACATGCTTCTTGCCGCTGACAACGAAGCAGACCTACAACAGGTCAAGGGATGAGCTGCAGAAGCGCCTCCTCTGCCAAGGACCTGGGGAGGTCCGCAACTACCTCGGGATGGAGATTTCTCGCGATCGTACGGCCAGGACCATCTCCCTCTCTCAGGCATTCTACCTCGAGAAGGTCCTTGAACGCTTCGAGATGGCCACGGCCAAACCCGTCTCCACACCCCTCCAAGTCGGCCACCAGCTCTCGCCGACAACCACCCACGGTTCCTCCACCAGTCCTTACGCTGAGCTGGTCGGGTCCCTGATGTACGCCATGATGTGCACTCGCCCCGACCTCGCCTACCCTATCAGTGTCCTGGCGCGCTTTGTCGGCGCTGGCAAACACACTCCCGAGCACTGGCAAGCGGCCCAAGCGCGTTCTCCGCTACATCAAAGGCACCAAGGACTATGTCCTCACCTTGGGCGGCCCCACCCCTCCTCAGCTCACTGGCTACAGCGACTCCTCTTGGCAGATTCTCAGCCCGATCGTCGCAGCTCACAGGGGTATGGTTTTCTCCCTCGGGAGTGGGCCTCATTTCCTGGCGCTCCACCCGCTCCTCCTCGATCGCTCTCTCCTCCGTGCGAAGCAGAGCTCTACGCCATCACCATGGCGGCCCAGGAGGCGCGGTGGCTCAGCTTCCCTCCTCGCTGAGCTGGATGCTCCCCAGCCCTGTCCCACCATCTGGTGCGACAATGCCAGTACTATCCACCTCACAAAGGAAGCCGTTTCCATGGTCGCTCCAAACACATCGCGCTCCGACACTACTTTCGTTCGTGAGCTCGTCCAGGCTGGACACCTCACCGTGCGCAAGATTGACTCTTCAGCCAACCTTGCCGACATCTTCACCAAGGCCCCTCCCTCGTCCGTCCCCATGCGGCTCTCCTTCGCCTTCTGGGTCTTGCCCCTCCCTCACAGGGGACTACCTGATTCAGGGGTTGCTTCTCCTCCCCTTCCCAAGACTTATGGCACTCTGTAGGCTAAGGGGTTTGTGTTAGACTATTCTCCTTCATTCTATTAGCCTACATCGTTTCATTGTCTTAGAACTTATAAGCGCCCCACTAGGGTGTATACACCCAAGTTGGGGGTTGGGTTCCCAACCTTGTTGGGTTCCCAAATTGGTTGGGCTCCCAATTATTGGAACCCCCAATAATCCCAACCAAGATTATTGGACCCACCAATAATCTTGGCTAGGATTATTGGACCCCAATAAGTTGGCCAACTCAACTTATTGGGGTCACCAATAATCGTGGTCACCTCCCAACCAAACCCCCCCCCCCCCCCCTCCCTCCTACTCCTCACCTATGTATACCCACTCCTTTCCTAATACAATCATCACTTCAGATTCTCACAGAAATGGCGCACATGAAGGAGAAATGGCGCACATGAAGGAGAAATGGCGCACATGAAGGAGAAATGGTGCACATGAAGGAGAGATGGCGCACATGAAGGAGAAATGGCGCACATGAAGGAGAGATGGCGCACATGAAGGAGAAATGGCGCACATGAAGGAGAAATGGCGCACATGAAGGAGAAATGGCGCACATGAAGGAGAAATGGCGCACATGAAGGAGAAATGGCGCACATGAAGGAGAAATGGCGCACATGAAGGAGAAATGGCGCACATGAAGGAGAAATGGCGCACATGAAGGAGAAATGGCGCACATGAAGGAGAAATGGCGCACATGAAGGAGAAATGGCGCACATGAAGGAGAAATGGCGCACATGAAGGAGAAATGGCGCACATGAAGGAGAAATGGCGCACATGAAGGAGAAATGGCGCACATGAAGGAGAAATGGCGCACATGAAGGGGCAAAAGGCGCACAGGAAGGGGAAATGGCGCACATGAAGGAGAAATGGCGCACATGAAGGGGCAAAAGGCGCACATGAAGGGGGAAAAGGCGCACAGGAAGGGGAAATGGCGCACATGAAGGGGGAAAAGGCGCGCAGGAAGGGGAAATGGCGCACATGAAGGGGAAAAGGCGCACAGGGAGGGGAAATGGCGCACATGAAGCGGGAAAAGGCGCACAGGGAGGGGAAATGGCGCCCATGAAGGGGGAAAGGCGCATAGCAACGGAACCAACCCAGGGTAGGTATCATCTCTGATGCCTCCACTCCTCTCCCTCCCATGATCCCATCAGGACTCGCACGTGTGAAGGCAAGCCCGGTTCACTTGGGCATGAGGCCATTGACGCCCACACCTTTGCTGAATGGGTAAGGCTCATGGTCGAAAAAGTTTATGAAGTTTGCTGGATCAAGTATCGTTTCTTGATTACTGTTTTAGGGTGATTCCTGCATATCTATGGGAGATACCTTAGCATTCTAGGTAACGCAAATACAATTGCCACCATTGTCTGATTCCAACACCATAAGACCTTCAGGTCGAATCAGGGCTGCTTCATACCGACTGTTTGCGGCCCATTGCGTGCTGTGGCTCCGTGTGATAGCTAATGACAGAATTCTGACATCTGCCTGCCTGCTGTGACTGTGCACATCCATGGCATGGCAGGGAGTGGACTACCTGAAATACGACAACTGCTACAACGATGGAACCCCAAACAAGTTGCGGTACGTCGTGTCAACATCACTCGTGTCGGCATCACTTGTGTCGGCATCACTTGTGTTGTGTTGGCATCACCGTATTGGCGTCACTCGTGTGGGCCTCACGTTCGCTTTGAGGCATCACAGATTCCATCGCTTTCCCTCCCTCTCCCATCGACCTGTCACGATGGATTGCCTTTCTTCCCGTCTTCCGACTGCTCTGTCCGTTTTCCCTCGTTCGTTTGTTCATTCTTTTAGGGTGCATCCCACTCGTTCATTTGCCGTTCGTTTCAGTGCGTTTCAGTATGGTGCCTCACTGTCAAAAACGGTTTGCGTGCTTCACCGTCACCACTCACGACCATAGCGCACCAAACTGAATCGTCCCTCTGCCCCCACTCCCCCCCTCCCCCTTAACTCATCCTCCTCTGACGCCTAAATGCACCCTCAGCTACACAGTCATGCGCAATGCACTGGAGGCCACAGGGAGGGACATCTTCTTCTCCATGTGTGAATGGTGAGCTGAGAGCATCCTGTGGTGAGGTCAGAACATCCCATCTTAGAATGCACCATGTGCGAATGGTGAGCTGAGAGCATCCTGTGGTGAGGTCAGAACAGAACATCCCATCTTAGAATGCACCATGTGCGAATGGTGAGCTGAGAGCATCCTGTGGTGAGGTCAGAACATCCCATCTTAGAATGCACCATGTGCGAATGGTGAGCTGAGAGCATCCTGTGGTGAGGTCAGAACATCCCATCTTAGAATGCACCATGTGCGAATGATGAGCTGAGAGCATCCTGTGGTGAGGTCAGAACATCCATCTTAGAATGCACCATGTGCGAATGATGAGCTGAGAGCATCCTGTGGTGAGCTCAGAAACATCCCATCTTAGAATGCACCATGTGCGAATGGTGAGCTGAGAGCATCCTGGTGAGCTCAGAACATCCCATCTTAGAATGCACCATGTGCGAATGGTGAGCTGAGAGCATCCTGTGGTGAGCTGAGTGGATCCCAACTTTGCTCGAATGCAAACAAACGCATTTGCGGTGTGTCCTAGATCCCACCCTGCTACTCTGTTCTGCTGGCCACTTTCATGCCACTGTAGCTACCAATGGTGTCTTGGATTGGCGTAGGACTAAGCAGACAATAGTCAAGAGCGCATGGTGACCTGCGCTGCCTTGATCTCTGATCTGATCATGACACGTGTCGGCCTGCCTTGTCATGCCATCTGTCGGCCTCTCCTTGGCATGCATGCCACGTGTTGGCCTGCCTTGTCTTGCCACGTCTTGCCTGCCCATCCTGCCACGTGTGCTACTCCATGCAGGGGACAGGATGACCCTGCTCTGTGGGCGTATGACGTGGCAGACTCCTGGCGGACCACCGTTGACATTGGGGACACGTGGAGAGGTGAGAAGGGACACGTGGAGGAGAGGAAGGACACTTGGTGAAGGGGAAGAAGGACACGTGGAGAAGGGGAGGAAGGACACGTGGAGAAGGGGAGGAATGACACGTGGAGAAGGGGAAGAAGGGCACGTGGCGAAGGGGTAGAAAGTGGCGTGGATGAGGAGAGGGGAGGAGAAGAAATTGAGAAGACGGGTGAGCGGACGGAGGAGAAAGGAATGGCAAGGAGGGGAGAGGAAGAGGGAAGCGGAGCAAGAGGATTGAAGCTATTGGGGAAGGGGAGGGGAAGGAAGGGATGCGAAGTCATCTCCCTGCCTGTGTATATATGCAACTTGTTTCGAGGCGTCTCAAAATTGCGCGTGATAGGAGTCTAGTTTTGAGGAGTCTCAAAAGTGCGTGATAGGAGTCTAGTTTTGAGGCACCTCAAAACTAGGAAGGGATGGGAAGTCATCTCCCTTCCCGTGTATAAGCAACTGAGGTCATTTTTTATTTGACTCAACGTAAAAACTCGCCTCGAGAGGAAGGGAGAGATGAGAAGAAGTTTCCCTACTACCTATGTCCATGCGATGTCAATTCTTCCGAACTTCACCTCTTTATCTACGTGCATGTACCCTGCTCCCTCCCTGCATGCATGGCACATGGCACATGGCACACGGCATATGACTCATGGCACGTGGCACGTGGCATGTGGCACATGGCACATGGCACATGGCGGCACATGGCACATGGCATGTGGCACATCCAGCATGATTCGGATTGCAGACCTTAACAACAAGTGGGCCAAGTACGCCAAGCCAGGCGGGTGGAATGGTGAGTGGTGCCCAACACACGAGGTGCCCAACCCAGGCGAGGTGCCCAACACACGAGGTGCCCAACAACGAGGTGCCCACACACGAGGTGCCCAACACACGAGGTTGCCCAACACACGAGGTGCCGAGCCAACACACGAAAAAAAAAACGAGGTGCCCAACACACGAGGTGCCCCAACAAAACACGAGGTGCACACGAAAACACACGAGGTGCCCAACACACGAGGTGCCCCCCAGACACACACCGAGGTGCCCCAAACAACACCGAGGTGCCCAACACACGAGGTGCCCACAATGACACACGAGGTGCCCAACACACGAGGTGCCAACAAACACACCGAGGTGCCCCAACACAAAAACGAGGTGCCCAACACACGAAAAAGGTGCCCAACACACGAGGTGCCCAACATGAACACCGAGGTGCCCAACACACGAGGTGCCCAACACACGAGGTGCCCAACACACGAGGTGCCCAACACACGAGGTGCCCAACACACGAGGTGCCCACAACACACGAGGTGCCCAACACACGAGGTGCCCAACACACGAGGTGCCAACACACGAGGTGCCCAACACACGAGGTGCCCAACACACGAGGTGCCCAACACACACCGAAGGTGCCCCAACACACGAGGTGCCCCCCAACACACGAGGTGCCCAACACACGAGGTGCCCAACACACGAGGTGCCCAACACACGAGGTGCCCAACACAAACCGAGGTGCCCAACACACGAGGTGCCCAACACACGAGGTGCCCAAACACACGAGGTGCCCAAACACACGAGGTGCCCAACACACGACACGAGGTGCCCAACACACGAGGTGCCCAACACACAGGTGCCAACACACGAGGTGCCCAACACACGAGGTCCCGAGGCCCAACACACGAGGTGCCCAACACACGAGGTGCCCAACACACGAGGTGCCCAACACACGAGGTGCCCAAACACACGAGGGTGCCCAACACATCCCAACCGAGGTGCCCAACACACGAGGTGCCCAACACACGAGGTGCCAACACACGAGGTGCCCAACACACGAGGTGCCCAACACACGAGGTGCCCAACACACGAGGTGCCCAACACACGAGGTGCCCAACACACGAGGTGCCCAACACACGAGGTGCCCAACACACGAGGTGCCCAACACACGAGGTGCCCAACACACGAGGTGCCCAAACACACGAGGTGCCCAACACACGAGGTGCCCAACACACGAGGTGCCCAACACACGAGGTGCCCAACACACGAGGTGCCCAACACACGAGGTGCCCAACACACCGAGGTGCCCAACACACGAGGTGCCCACACACGAGGTGCCCAACACACGAGGTGCCCAACACACGAGGTGCCCAACACCGAGGTGCCCAACACACGAGGTGCCCAACACACGAGGTGCCCAACACACGAGGTGCCCAACACACGAGGTGCCCAACACACGAGGTGCCCAACACACGAGGTGCCCAACACACACACGAGGTGCCCAACACACGAGGTGGCCCAACACACGAGGTGCCCAACACACGAGGTGCCCAACACACGAGGTGCCCAACACACGAGGTGCCCACACACGAGGTGCCCAACACACCGAGGTGCCCCACCCCCCCACGAGGTGCCCAACACACGAGGTGCCCAACACACGAGGTGCCCCAACACACGAGGTGCCCAACACACGAGGTGCCCAACACACGAGTGCCCAACACACGAGGTGCCCAACACATGAGGTGCCCAATGTTGGCATTGGTTCGCCAACCACTAGGGCGACCTAGGGGTGGCGAGCAGAATCGTGGGAGGAATTTCAGGCGGTGGGAACGGAAGAAAAGTCAATTGAAAAAAATAGCGGTGATTGAGGAATATTGGTGGGAATTCGGAAGAAGTGACGGTGCGACTGTGCGACGGTGGTGCACCAAGGAAGAACGGTGGAAATAGGATGACGGGAGATGAAGAAGAAGAAGGGGAAGGAGTGGGAAGGAAGGTGTGAAGAACATGTGTTGTGGAGTTACAGGAGGAGTTGTGGAAGAAAATGGGATTTTGGACGGTGTGCGTTCAGTGGCACCGAACTTGGGGTCGGTGTCGGTGTTGAAACACGCGGACCGCGTTCCGATGTGATTGCGTGTGCGACCTGAAACGAAACGAGGCGCGCTCGTTAGTCAAAGCGCCCTTGGTGGTTACGAGCCGCGAATTGGCATTCTGGTTGACTATAAAAGTGTTTATCTGTTTGTTATTTAAAAATAAAGTTGAGTTCTGAAACTTGCAGTACATAATCACGACTTCTAGCAAACGTGAGGATAACGTTGGAATCGTGTCGACGAGGAGATTATCATAGAGCCCAGTGCTTCTATATAATCCTAGTGCAAGGAGCCCTTGCAAGGCGAAATCACATCGGCCGGAGGCGATGGGCGAGTTGGCGTGTCGGAGTCCGAGCGCTCAGTGCGACTGCGTTTTGTAGCCGTAGGCGAGGAGTCCTTGCTACGAGCTAACGGTAGGACGTTGGCATCAGTCACGAGCAAGGTTGGCTTGCTGTGAGCACGTTTGACATTTCGTTGCCTGGGAGCTGTAGTTTCGCGCGGAAGCTATAGCCGACTCAGACCCAACACAAGGTGCCCAACACACGAGGTGCCCGACACACAAGGTTCCCGACACACGTAGTCGCTTGTGAGGCACTCAATCGAGCCAACAGCTAGTCAGCCACGCACGTCAAGGCAGGCGGGTGGAACGGCGCTTATCAGTGGGTGATTTGAAGAAGCAGGGGCTAAAATCTTTGAGGGAAGGGTAAAAGCTAGAGTTTGGAAGGGTAAAGGTGGCACCATGGCTCCGTGGCACCATTGCGATCAAGCAGTGAAAATGCTCCAAGGTCAATCAATGCTTGCTCATCGGCCCGCATCATCCTTCAACCAGTCATGCTGCTTGCAAAAGTATGCCATGGCACAAGCACCGTGCTGCCCCCCCCCCCCTTCCCCTCTGTCCAACACCCTCCACACCCACTTTTTTATTGTCCACTCAGATCACACTCTGAGTTGCTGCAGGTGGGGGATGGGGACATGTATAAGTAGGGAGCACCAAGTGCACTGCTCACGAGTTCAGGTGTCCAATCTCTTTCCCCAAACCCTCCACTCCGCCCCCCTTCCCCCCACACTTGAACCTCCCCCTCACAGACCCCGACATGCTGCAGGTGGGGAATGGAATCATGTGAAACTGGGGAGTACCGACCGAGTGCACTGCTCAAGAGCTCAGGTGTCCAATCTCTTTCCCCGAACCCTCCACTCTGCAAACCTTCACCCCCACACACTTGACCCTCCCCCTCACAGACCCCAACATGCTGCAGGTGGGGAATGGGGGACATATGAAAACGGGGAGTGTCGAGTGCACTACTCAAGAGCTCAGGTGTCCAATCTCTTTCCCCGAACTCTTGTCTCCTGATAACCGCCCCCCCTCGCAGACCCCGACATGCTGCAGGTGGGGAATGGCGGCATGAGAGAGTCGGAGTACCGCGTGCACTTCAGCCTCTGGGCCATCATGAAGGTGGGCATGGGTGCTTGCAGGTGGGCATGGGTGCATGGAGGTGGGCATGGGTGCATGGAGGTGGGCATGGGTGCATGGAGGTGGGCATGGGTGCATGGAGGTGGGCATGGGTGCATGGAGGTGGGCATGGATGCATGGAGGTGGGCATGGGTGCATGGAGGTGGGCATGGGTGCATGGAGGTGGGCATGGGTGCATGGAGGTGGGCATGGATGCATGGAGGTGGGCATGGGTGCATGGAGGTGGGCATGGGTGCATGCATGGAGATGGCCCTTGAGACGTCACAAAAGGTATGAGAGAGTGTCGCGTGCATTCCAGTCTCTGGGCCATCATGAAAGTGAGGTGAGCATGGAAAGAGGACGGGCCTCTTTTACGCTTTCGATCTGCGATGGTGCATATCTACGGTGTGCATGCCATGCGTGTAGGAGTGTATTCGTTAGGTGCCTCAAAAGGGATGCTTTCGATTCGCAATGGTGCGTATGTACGATGTGCTATTTCTGGTGCCTAAAAAATAGACTCCTTTTGAGGCGCCTCAAAACTGATGCTTTCGATTCGCAATGGTGCGTATGTACGATGTGCTTTTTCTGGCGCCTAAAAAATAGACTCCTTTTGAGGCGCCTCAAAACTGATGCTTTCGATTCGCAATGGTGCGTATGTACGATGTGCTTTTTCTGGCGCCTAAGAAATAGACTCCTTTTGAGGCGCCTCAAAACTGATGCTTTTGATTCGCAATGGTGCGTATGTACGATGTGCTTTTTCTGGCGCCTAAGAAATAGACTCCTTTTGAGGCGCCTCAAAACTGATGCTTTCGATTCGCAATGGTGCGTATGTACGATGTGCTTTTTATGGCGCCTAAAAATTAGACTCCTTTTGAGGCGCCTCAAAACTGACCGTCTCAAGATCATTAGACCTTTTAGGGTAAATTATATCAAGGTCAGCAACGAGAGTAACAACACACTCTGTAATGAGTCTGCTTTTGACTCCACTCAAACATTTTTGCGAGCGACGTAAATTCCAGAAAGGTCGGCACTGAGATAATCTTATCAACACAGTTGTGAAGTAAATTTCCAACCGGAACACTCACTTCCCTCCGCACCCATCCTGCCCGCCCACCCCATCTACATCCTTCGGAGGGAAGAGCAATCTCGGATCACTCATCCACTACCGAAGCACTCATTTCCTACTGAAGGGAAGTGACATCATTCTAGGGAATGAGTGATTTGGAGGGATTTGGAGGGATTTGGAGGGATTTGAGACCAGTAAATTTCCACCCGAAGCACTCATTTCCCTCTACACCCGTCCTCAACCCCCCCCCCCCTCCCCTCCCCCACCCTCAACATCCTTTCACTAGGCGCCTCTCCTGATTGGCTGCGACCTCTCTCGTGTATCAAATGCAACACTGCACATTTCTTACTGAAAGGAATGACATCATTCTAGGGAAGGAGTGACTCAGAGAAAAGTGAGACCTTTAATGAGTGAGTCGGAGAAAAGTGAGACCTTTAATGAGTGAGTCGGAGAAAAGTGAGACCTTTAATGAGTGAGTCGGAGAAAAGTGAGACCTTTAATGAGTGAGTCAGTAAATTTCCAACCGAAGCACTCACTTCCCTCCTCAACCGTCCTTCCCTCCCCCTCCCCCCCTCTTCCCTCCACCTCCTTTCACCAGGCGCCTCTCTTGATTGGCTGCGACCTCTCTCGTGTATCAAATGCGACACTGCGCATTCTGGGGAATGATGAAGTCATTGCTGTTAACCAAGGTGTGCGTTCGTGCCAGGTGTGTGCTCGTGCCAGGTGTGTGCTGGAGCCAGGTGTGTGCTCGTGCCAGGTGTGTGCTCGTGCCAGGTGTGTGCTCGTGCCAGGTGTGTGCTCGTGCCAGGTGTGTCCTCGTGCCAGGTGTGTGCTCGTGCCAGGTGTGTGCTCGTGCCAGGTGTGTGCTGGAGCCAGGTGTGTGCTCGTGCCAGGTGTGTGCTGGAGCCAGGTGTGTGCTCGTGCCAGGTGTGTGCTCGTGCCAGGTGTGTGCTGGAGCCAGGTGTGTGCTCGTGCCAGGTGTGTGCTCGTGCCAGGTGTGTGCTCGTGCCAGGTGTGTGCTCGTGCCAGGTGTGTGCTCGTGCCAGGTGTGTGCTCGTGCCAGGTGTGTGCTGGAGCCAGGTGTGTGCTCGTGCCAGGTGTGTGCTCGTGCCAGGTGTGTGCTCGTGCCAGGTGTGTGCTGGAGCCAGGTGTGTGCTCGTGCCAGGTGTGTGCTGGAGCCAGGTGTGTGCTCGTGCCAGGTGTGTGCTCGTGCCAGGTGTGTGCTGGAGCCAGGTGTGTGCTCGTGCCAGGTGTGTGCTCGTGCCAGGTGTGTGCTCGTGCCAGGTGTGTGCTCGTGCCAGGTGTGTCCTCGTGCCAGGTGTGTGCTCGTGCCAGGTGTGTGCTCGTGCCAGGTGTGTGCTGGAGCCAGGTGTGTGCTCGTGCCAGGTGTGTGCTGGAGCCAGGTGTGTGCTCGTGCCAGGTGTGTGCTCGTGCCAGGTGTGTGCTGGAGCCAGGTGTGTGCTCGTGCCAGGTGTGTGCTCGTGCCAGGTGTGTGCTCGTGCCAGGTGTGTGCTCGTGCCAGGTGTGTGCTCGTGCCAGGTGTGTGCTCGTGCCAGGTGTGTGCTGGAGCCAGGTGTGTGCTCGTGCCAGGTGTGTGCTCGTGCCAGGTGTGTGCTCGTGCCAGGTGTGTGCTGGAGCCAGGTGTGTGCTCGTGCCAGGTGTGTGCTGGAGCCAGGTGTGTGCTCGTGCCAGGTGTGTGCTCGTGCCAGGTGTGTGCTGGAGCCAGGTGTGTGCTCGTGCCAGGTGTGCGTTCGTGCCAGGTGTGTGCTCGTGCCAGGTGTGTGCTGGAGCCAGGTGTGTGCTCGTGCCAGGTGTGTGCTCGTGCCAGGTGTGTGCTCGTGCCAGGTGTGTGCTCGTGCCAGGTGTGTGCTCGTGCCAGGTGTGTCCTCGTGCCAGGTGTGTGCTCGTGCCAGGTGTGTGCTCGTGCCAGGTGTGTGCTGGAGCCAGGTGTGTGCTCGTGCCAGGTGTGTGCTGGAGCCAGGTGTGTGCTCGTGCCAGGTGTGTGCTCGTGCCAGGTGTGTGCTGGAGCCAGGTGTGTGCTCGTGCCAGGTGTGTGCTCGTGCCAGGTGTGTGCTCGTGCCAGGTATGTGCTCGTGCCAGGTGTGTGCTCGTGCCAGGTGTGTGCTCGTGCCAGGTGTGTGCTCGTGCCAGGTGTGTGCTCGTGCCAGGTGTGTGCTCGTGCCAGGTGTGTGCTCGTGCCAAGTCTGTGCTCCTGCCAGGTGTGTGCTCCTGCCAGGTGCGTGCTGGAGCCAGGTGTGTGCTCGTGCCAGGTGTGTGCTCGTGATTGGTGTACTTGCTCACACGTGATTGGTGTATTTGCTCACACGTGATTGGTGTATTTGCTCACACGTGGCACATTACGATTGGTGCAGACCGGCTGGGAGTGCAGGCAAGGAAGGTGCAAGTCTCTGAGGACAGCCTCATAGAGGTGAGAGAGGTCAGATGGGCCCTTGCTCGCCTAGGGTGAGGGAGGTCAGATGGGCCCTTGCTCGCCTAGGGTGAGTGAGGTCAGATGGGCCCTTGTTCGCCCAAGGTGAGTGAGTTGGCTGGAATAGGGACTACCCCTCTCTTGGTGGGAGGAGAGTACAGTGGGGGGAGGTGAGTGCAGTGGGGGGAGGTGAGTGCAGTGAGGGGAGGTGAGTGCAGTGGGGGGAGGTGAGTGCAGTGGGGGGAGGTGAGTGCAGTGGGGGGGAGGTGAGTGGGCAGAAGTAGACCTTTTCACGCGAACCATGCATTCTGTGTCCACTTGGTAAGCTGACTCTGATGATGCTGCATGTGCTTGCAAGCGAGCTGGTCCTTGTGGCACTTCACAGCAACTACCTCATGGGGCAGCACTAATTCTGCGACGCTTATTCAGCAGTGTTGATTCAGCACTGCTTTATTCAGAGCAGAGAGCCATCCCTCTTCGTTGCCTCATTTGCAGACCGAAGCCATTTTAGCTACGTGAATACAGCGTGCTCCTAAAGGCCATCCCTTTTCGTTTCTGTGTGTGCCTCTCCCTTCCCCATGCGGCCTGTCCTTGGAACCTGCAGGTTTGGTCCGGACCTCTGTCTGAGGGTCGGTGGGTGGTAGCCCTGGTGAATCGCAGCCCAATAAGCGCGAAGGTGACTGCCCGCTGGAAAGCGATTGGCCTGAATCCGGTGCAGCCGATGTATGCACGCGACCTTTGGAAGGTACGGGTGAACCTCGAACCCATGGCTTTGTGAACTTCTCTTGACAGGTGCTTTAATGTGAAAGCTAGTCGGAAAGTGATTGGCCTGAATCCGGTGCAGCCGATGCATGCACGCGGCCTCTGGAAGGTAGTTGTGTTAACTAGTCTTTTGCCCCCCTTTCCTCCCTCTTACCACCCCCCCCCCCCCTTTCCTCCCCCCCCCCTTTCCCTCCCTCATCCCAACCCTCTTCCTCACACTTACGCACATGCGAGCACATGCACATGCACATGCACATGCATATCCACTGTCACATGTCTCCATCCCGTCCTGTGGTGCTGCTACCATGGTGTCACCTTGTTTGGTCACCCCCTGTGTTGAAGGCAACCATGCGAGCACATGCACATGCACATGCATATCCAGTGTCACATGTCTCCATCCCGTCCAGTGATGCTGCTACTATGGTGTCACCCTGCGTTTCTCCCCCTCTTGTGCAGAAGGCAACCATGGACAAGGTCATCTCAGGGGCGCTGAGTGCTCGAGTTCCAAGTCACGATGTGAGGCTGTTCCTCGTCTGGCCCGCCACTGAGACTCTGTAAGAGTGGCTGTGTCTCCACCCTGCTATGTGTCCCTCTTGTGCAGAAGGCAACCATGGACAAGGTCATCTCAGGGGAACTGAGCATTCGAGTTCCAAGCCACGATGTGAGGCTGTTCCTCATCTGGCCCGCCACGGAGACTTCGTCCAGCTGACCTTACAGACCAGTCCAACAATGGCACGTGCATCAGCAATAAGCCTTGGGAGATGTAAAGGTCTGGATACATTTTTAATTATGACATTGAAATGCACTTGGTGGAGATCATGTCGTACCATACCATACTCTCTACTGGTCGCATCGTTGTTTTTGTCCAACATAACAGCTTGCCTGTTGCATGAACCTAAGCTGTGGGAAGGAGTGATAATGAAATTTGCACCAGCGAGTTATTTGCGATAGCACATGGATGTATATACACGTGAGAGCAAATCCTTGGGAGTCTTCTTATGTCGCGGTTGTCTATTGTTGTGATATATTTCATACTTAGCATTTTTGTAAGTCGTTTATCGATAGTGTTGAATCCTACCGTAGAAGATTGTTGTGATAAATGAAGTTTTGCATTCCTGCATGTTCCGTTTTCAGTGTAGTTAGCAGTATCGAGTTTCTCAGTAAGTAATCATGCCCGAGTGCTGATGTCGGCAAAGCATCGTGGGTCTCGGGATGACGCCAGCATACCGCGTCAGTTACGTGAATAGGCGTAACGAGTCGTTTCAGTCACGCGAACAGTCACGACCCTATAGAATGACGAATAGGTCGCATAGCGCGATAGTGACGAACAGATACATTAGCAAACAGGTACTTTCCCTAGAGCTATACATTCTTGTAATGCCTTTCTATTATTAACCTTGACTTTCCACAGAATTATGTGCTCACGTTATTCAACTTTGATTACTCACAAGTTCACGTACTCATGTTATTCAACCTTGACCTTTACATTTTACAAGACTTCCGCTGTCTTACTAGTCTATCATTCCAGCAAAGATCCTTGGTGAAGTACTCGTGTTAGCAGATTTTATACTTAGTCTACTACAAACATCAGACGATTTATTTCAAAGATAAGTCCCTAGGATGACGTCAGCAAATAGCGCTCGTCATAGGACAGTCGTTTCAGTCACGCGAATAGTCGCACCTCTTCATTATCATCTAGGGCGCATAGCGCGATAGTGATGAGCAGGTACATTAGCGAACAGGTAATTTCCTAGAGCTATAAGTCTTTGTTCTGTCCTTTTATTATTAACCTTGAGATTTCAACTTTGAGAACTTTGAAACTTAACTTCTGCACAAATATATACTCAGGTTCATTCTTACAAGACTTCCGTTGTCTTACTAGTCTACCATTCCAGTAAAGATCCTAGGCTAACACTTGAGGTTTTCCAAGTGTTCGTTTTTGCAGGTTCTATACTTAGTCTTCTGCAACACCTGTCAAAATATTATATGGTATGAGAGCTATCTGGAATTAAGACTATTGTAAACAATGACGGGTTCATTACCAGCATCGTCTGCCGGATCAACTTCCGGGACTACTGGAGTACATGTCTCCACGACCGCCACTGGTCTCTCAGCCTCTGGACCATTTTCACCGGCTTATGCGCATATCGGTATGCAGCAGCAGCAGCAGAATCCGTCTTCTGTCAGCACTCCAGGAATGTCATCAACTGCCCCTGCAGCACAACAACAACTAACACAGACAACAGCACAGCAACAAGCATCAGCACAACCACCGTTTTCAACACAGTCAATATCGTCAGCGTTCAGTGGAATGAGCCTTGACGGCTCGAGTTACATGCGTGGAGCCTCAGCTCCAAGTACTGGTTCATTCGCTTTCTCACCTTTTGTGCAGCAGCAGCAGTCACAACAGCAGCAGCATCCCTTTTATATATTTGGGCGATCTCCTGCTCAGCAACAGCATCAACAGCCACAGCAACAGCAACAACAACAACAACAATTTCAGCAACAGCAACGGCAACAGCAACAGCCTTAACAACCGGGTGCTATTTTTCAACCACCAAATTTACTGAACAGCACACAAATAAAAACCACTATACCTTTTAGCGAAGTCGACTTCTACTCCTGGAGCTTTGAGTTTGAGCTTCTGGCGCAGTCCGGTGGGCTATGGCCGTTCTTCACCGGCGAGTTCACGTATCCTGTCGTGGGAACACAACTGGAGCAGCAGAGTTTCTTGCACGCCTCTCTCGGGGCGTATACAGTTCTTGTTCGAAACCTGTCGCCGAAGGAGCAACTCGGCGTCCGATATTTTCACTCAAGCTTTACACCAGCTGAAACTGCATGGAACCACTTGAAGGGGGTATACATGGCAAAGGATACCATAACAGTGAGTAAAATACTTTCGCAACAGACAAGTGTGCAGATGATGACAAACGAGAACGTCATGGATTACGTCAATCGCGTCCTTACACTACGAGATCAACTGAAGAAAAGCGGGGGATACTTCCCTCGTGAGATGTATCTCACGGTCCTTCTTGCTGGCCTTGGACCCGAATGGTGACAGACGCGCGCCTTTCTGCGCATGAACCCAAACCTCTCCGAAGCTGAAATTTTGTCGTATCTTCAAGCGGAGCAGCAAGATCTGGACCTGCAGTCACAACGAAATCAGAAGAAGGGACTACACTTGAGTTTTTACTCAAATCTAGAAGCGCAACATCGTCATCCCCTGAAATATCCTTTCTGCCATTTCTGCAAGAAACCAGGACACACTTACCAGAATTGTTGCAGTCGACATCAAAACCGACGCAGCACTTCACAGCCTTATCATCGCTCGCAGCAGTTACCGAAGCCACATTAGCCCACGCAGCAGTCGACGGCCCAAATGCAGCAGATGCCGAAAACGCCGCAGAATCCGTCTGCGTCACAGCATCGTCCTCCGGTTTTTGCATCTGCAACATCAGGGAAAGGGGTCTTTGGATGCTTCACGACAGTTGATGTTTCAGAAACAGATTTCGAGACACGACTTGAAGAAACCACAAGTGCTGAAGGCATTCCTTTACCTCAAGTTTACGCTAACCTTGCTTAAATAATTTCAGGACCGAATACTTGGTATCTCGACAGCTGCTGCGGTTGGCACATGTGCTCCGCAGAAACAAGCTTCATCACCAACCAGCGTCCACTTCGTCGTCCGATACCTGTCACAGTCGCAAACGGACAAACTATTATGGCACGTTCTGTTGGGAGTGTAATGCTCGAATCTATCGACACGGGATACTCACTACATGTTACCAATGTTCTTATCGTCGCTGGACTTGGATTCAATCTCCTTTCCATGGCTCAGCTCCTGGCACACAAGATCCGCACACAGGGCAATTGTGAAACGATGGATCAGGAGCTCTGGCACAGTTCAACGAATACTTACCTTGGTCGTGCCGCCACTCAACATGGCGTGTCCGTTCTTCAGTTCGCAGCACAGGGAACTTCTGGCGATTCTGAACGCGTCCTTGCACTTGGTCCTTGGGATCATCCAGAAGAAACAGATTATCAACACGTGGATATTGACTTTCGAGCAACTACTGTACCAACGGCTTCTCGAACTGCAGCTGCCGTAGTTACCTCGTTGGATACCTGGGAGTTCAATACCGCCGATGAAAGCGCCACCGCGTGGCGAACGTTTTATAATACCCGTGCAGCCTTCCAAGGAACTCAAGCACCACTTTGGGGAGAAATTAGTGGACTTGCCGCTGATGAACCTGACGTCGTTAAAGAAGTCGAAAAGGAAGAAGTCGCCGAGCAGCCGTGTTCAACAGTAGCTGTCACCGAAACACCTGCCACAACATCAACAGAAGCAGTATCAGAAGTTGTAATCGCAACTGCAGCACCTTCAAATGTTCCATTACCCCTTACACGTTTTGTTGAAGGTGACGTTGACCGATCACCAACGCTATCTCCTTATATCATTTCTTCTTTTTATACCAACACCGATTTTTACCTGCGACCATGAGGACACAAAGCCCAAGAAGATATCTGGCATCAACGGTTAGGACATCCATCGCAGGGGATTCTTAATCATTCAATACGAGCAGCAGTTCTGGATAAAAATAGTCTTCTATTACCTGACGGCACGAAGATGAAGCCGCAGTCCCGTCCCACGGTTTGCACCACTTGTCCAGTTGCCAACCGATCGTTGTAAACTGATGCAGAAAGTCTACAGCGACATATTAAACTTACCTGAAGCAGGACCTAAAGACGAGAAGTACGTGATAACATTCATCGAAGCATCTACACGCTACGTCTGGACAGCAAACCTTCCCGCTCGTTATCTCGCTCACTCCGTCTTCGTCGCGTGGCTCGCTGTCGCTGAACGAGAGTCAGACGTGAAACTGCAAGAATTTCAGAGTGATGGTGCAGGGGAGTACACCAGCAACCCTTTCACAGAATATCTTCAGACACTCGGCAAGAAACGGAAGTAGGCACTGCCACATGCACATCAACAGATGGGGGTACCAGAAAGGATGAACAAAACTCTGAAGGAGAAGATGCGTGCTCTGCTAACGCAGGCAGCCTGTGAGAGTACGACACCGTTACACCAATTTCCCCTTTTCCATATTTCATTTCTATTTCATTCCTCTTTCACTCCTGATTCATTTGGTCTTTATCTCATCTCATTTGGTTTCCTATTCCTCATTTTCCATTATCCTTGGGTTTATCCTATTATTATGATTATATCACCGACCAGGCTCGGGATGTACTGGCGCGCTATATCTAGCGTAATCCTGCCGTAATCCCTTATAGCCAATAGCCTCGCGTGGCTATACGCAGGGTGATTCTATTTCTAGAAGGGTCTATTCCCTTTGGATAGGATAAACCTGGTTACCTGATGTATTCTGGAAGTATAAAAGCACCTTGTACTGATTGATAGGGCAACATTGAGCAAACCTTTCCTCGGGACATTCGATCCTGTGACACTTGGTTATCAGAGCCAAGGTTTCAGCTCAACGCTTAACCGCTGGGCCCCCAGGAGCACGCGGAGGATGGAGTCGAAACTTCAATTCCTGTAAGTACAATGCACTCTCATTTACGTTTCGACTCACCTCTCGCAGTTGCACCTGGGGTCCCCTTCGAAGGCGAGATGCCTCGCCAACCGTTCGATGGACTGCATCGACGGTGCCGAGTTTTCGCGAGGGCAAACGGCCTCGACCTGGCGAGCGCGTCAGTTCCGGCGGAACACTCCCTGCGACATTCGGGGAAGTTCGCAGTTCGCGACAACAGTTGGAGTTGCGCGGAACACTGCGGAGGTTCGACCGACGACATCCGTCCGATGGAGATTCGACGCTTCAGATCGACCGAGGCGAAAACGAAATCCTGCTGAGCGAGTTCGAGTTTCAGCGCGAATGGGAACGGGACCTCGCAAGCCGCGAAGTTCTTCGGAGCGTCCGATCGTTCGACAGCCGACATCGACGACCGAGAACTGCTGCAGGAAACG